CCTGCAACCGTCATTCTTCTCTGCTGTTACCCTCACTCATTGTATTGCATCTGATTTTAGACTGTAAGTTCTTGAGAACAGGGTCCTCTTCACCTGTAGTGGGAAGAGGCTGGGTATGATTGCCGAGTGCTGTAAAAACAAAATGATTGATGCCAAGTTGTATCTGAGATGAGTAAAGGTGGGACAGTGTATAGCCATCCCGTGGCAATGCTTTGGGAAAGTTAAGTTACGGATTCTCCAAAACATGGGCTTGGTTCTCTGGCAGTGCCGGGGAGAAACCCATACAAAAGTGAAGGGAGTGCAACCATGAAAGTGTACTGGATTCATGTTCCAGGGATGATGCTGTGAGGTTAACAAATTAAAGAAGAAAATTTACCTGTCTAAAATCATGTTACATTATTAAAACGGTTTTAAAAGCTTTGTGTTTTGTTGTTTGTTTTATTTTTTATTTTATGGTTTTCTTTTTTTTTTTTTTTTCAAGTTTGGATGGTGACAGTGGATAAGTTGGTTTTGTTCATAGTCTCTTGTGTCCTGCCTCACAGGCTAGCCAGGTGCTGTCGTTTTTGAACTGTAGTTCATCTAATGAAATATTTGGGTTTAGGCTAAGGTTGATTTAAAAAAAAATGGAGTTATCTCTGTTGTTCTTCAGTTATATCTTCACATAACTGAAATATGGGCTCACATTTGACCTCTGAGTATGCATTTGAACAGCTACCAAAATGGAATCCTGCATTTTTTGTTATACTCTGTTCCGGTGTTGCTAAATATATGGGATTTTGTTCAACAAAAAGAATCTTTATTACCCTTTTTACTCCTTATATTTATAGTTTAATAAAATAAGACACTGTAATTCAATAAAAGGAGACAAACCTGCCTTACATTTTGGGTTGGTTTCGGTTGCTCTAGCCTTGAGTTCAGTTGTCTGTCAGAGGCCAGGAGTCGCAGGTGCCCTACCCAGGCTTTGCACAAGGAATAGACGGAAGCATATGCCTCCCAAAACTTGCTTGCTTTTATTTTTTAGTTTTAGTTTCTTGTCCTTTAGAATAGTGTGGGGTTTTTTTGTTTATTTTTTTAATGCAGAGGAGAGCCATATTGCCGTAACAAAGTAATTTAACATGTAAATGGAGGCTTTTGTAAAACATATAATTTCTTGGGTCACCCTTCCAACCTGAACTTAGGTGTTTGTCTTCTTGCCCCCTCCCTGCCTCAGTTTATCAAACTGGACAGTGAAGGGGAATATTTTTGGGTTAAAGGCAAGCTGTTAAAGTTATGTCTTCTCTTGCTGACAGGTGATTTGAATTAGCTGTGGGTGTAAAAAGTAAATATTAATGTTGTGTGCAAAGAACTCGTGAAGCTCAAGTTGGTAGGCTAATTTGCCTTGCTATTGATGAATTGGAATCCTCTGCACCTTGCATGGTGCAAACCTCTGTGTGTGGCTTTGGGGCTGTCCTGCACATCTGGGAGGGCGCTTGCAATGTCCTGCTGGCTTTTGTCAGGGGCGTCCTTCATGTGGCAGGAGTTCCCCATCCTGTTCTTTGCCGCTTGTGGTTGCCCCTAAGCAGCTTCCCTGGTGAGAGCCTGGAGTGTGACAGCCACCACTGCAGATTCTTCGCTTTGCACTTGGTGGGGCCCCTGGCAAGCTGGCACCTACAGCTGGCACTTGCCTTTCTCTCGGCTTTCCTTACTTGCTGGTGGTCAAACTGTTGTGCTTTAGCATCGTGAGCTTGGACCAGTAACAAGCAAGAGCTGCAGTCAGCCTGAGCTTGTCCTATTACCTGCAGCTGATATCCAGAGATGAGTTTTTTTAAAAGACAGTTGCTGATTATAGCCAGCAATGTCATGGGTGGCACGCGCTGTTATACAGCACATAATGCAAACTGTCTTCCAGCCGAAGCGCACCATGCGTGGCCGTTTCCCATGTTATTGGGTGTTGCAGCTGTGAAGTGCTGTGACATTTTTCTAGGTCTGTGTACAATCTGTCAAAATAATTCCTGAGGTCCAGCCTCAGATCATGGTCCCATTACGTTTCACACGTATCTGTGTAAAGAATTGTAGCTGTGTGATATGAAACACTAGCCTAGTAGGGTTGAATGCCAGATGTGACAGCTTGCACTGTCTGAGATGATTATAATCTGACCCTGTGTGCATGAGAAATACATAGGTGGTGTTTTACGTAGGTCTGGAAATGGAGTCACTGAACATGTGGATTTATATGGATAGAGACAGGATTCTAATTTTTGAAGCTGCATTGCTTGCATTGTTGTCTGTTGGAAAAAAATATGGGATAATTACTAGTGCTTTGCATTGTTGTAGCCATTACAAACGCTTTACATGACTTCTAGTAAAGCGTGTTTGCTCACCAGCTATCTTGTGCTCTGAGGCACTCTGACCTTGCCGAAGAAGATGATGTGAGGTCTTCCCAGGGCACCTAGAGCAGTGGCTGGGTAAACATGCAGTTAAAACTTCATTTGGCTGAAGGTGCGGAGTTTGCAGTGGCGTTGCTCTGATTTGTATGCTGTCTGTGTAGGGGAACTGGCACGCAATACCCCGCTCGCGCACCTTTGTTCAGAGCATTGCTCCCTCTGCTACACAGGAGAGCGGGGAGGGAGGCTGCTCCTGTCATTAGACATGAACCACCAGCAGAAGTTGTTACTGAAAACAGGCACTAGATGTTGGCTGTTTCCCTCTGCTGATGTCCCATGGTACCTGCGTGACACAGACGTGCCAGGGTCTGGAGTGGTGCTGCCGTGTCCATGCGGTGACGTGCCTGAATCCTGCTGAGATGGCTGGTTTATCTGTGCTGTGTGGACTCAGTGGCTCATGGACCTCTGCACCACTGTGCATGGTGCAGGCCAGCCTGAAGATTCCTGGGGTCCGTGTCTGATGCCCTGGTCTTTCCAGTTAAGATATGTTAGAGGAGTACAGATCTGCCATGTGTGGATGGATAATGTATGTTTTATTGCATGTATTTGACATAGGGGTTGGAGCCTGCCTGCCTCCCCCACTCCAACTGTATATTTTACTTTATGCAGTAGGCTAAAGACCAGGTTTTACTGCAACTAACTTACAAGCTGCTTTATTCTGAGATATTATATTTGCTGTGATGGGCCTTTAGATTCATAGCTGGTAGCTTGAAGATTTAAAGCACATATACTTTAAATATCTCTTATCTGGGGCAGATGAGAAGTGAATATAACTAACTTCTATTTGGCTGTAATGCATTTATTAATGACTGTAAAAGCTGTAGATGGAAAAGCAATAGGTAGAACTGAGCTCCTTTAGGATAAATGCAATGTTGGGCTCTCCATTATGGTTTTGTAACTTGAGTTTTCAGTTTTCTGGGTACCTGCTGCCTGGCAGGTAGCCCCCCAGAATGTGAAAGCTGCAAGGTGGGGATGCGCTTGTACCGTGGAATTGGCCCTGTGGGCAGTGGTAGTCTTAAACCTCTCAGCTCCTTTGATTTTTTTTTTGCCTTTCACTCAGAACCTTGGAAAGGGAAGGTTACCAAATGCGTGTTTACCCGAAGCACACAACCTGCCCAGCTGCAATTATCTCCTAATCTGGTCCTTCCTAGTTTCTCTGGTCTCGCAGGTAAATACAGATTTAGCCGTTATTCAAGGCATATTATTTACCTCATTAAGTGTGTGTTTTGGCACGTGCATTGTTTACCTGACGGACTAATGGATGGGAGAGAGCAAACGCTGTCTTTTGTGCAAACAGCAACTTTGTTTGCGGGCAGCGAGTCCTCTGTTTTGCCTTGCCTATGTCGGCTCTGTGTCTCACGGCGGGCGCTTCCAGCCCTTCATGGCAGAGCGAAAAGCGAGCACGGGGCTGGGGGGGCCAGGCTCAGAAACCAGGCGGGTGGGTGGCACGTGGTGCCATGCAGCTCTCGCCCAGAGCTGAGAACAGTGGGACCCACCGCGGGGATGGATTTTAAATATCTATGTAAGGATGTGTGTTTGTGTATATATATAGTTAGAAGTTGTATTCCTATTGTTGTTCAAGAGGATTGTGTTTTTGCAATTCACCTGTTTTGCTGTCGGTCACTGTAACGCAGCTATGCAACACCTCCAGGAGCTGAGCTTGAACTCTCATCCCAATGAATCTATTAACAGCCCCAAGGCTGGTCCATCTTGTGCAGTGATTGTCCTTTCAAGTTTTTCCTGCAACATTTTAAAAGAAAATGGGTAGGGGAGATAGCCAGGCAGTCTCAGATGGATAACATAATTTATTAAATAGCATTTGTTAAATACAAGCATCAGAAGGTGGTGGCTGAGTAAGGTATTTCTTTGGGAGGGAGACTGTAACCTATGGAGTCCTGCTGGCGTTTTGCAGTTCCTGCAGTTCACGTGTGGGTTTGTTGAACCAATATCCTCCTCTGAGAAATATCTGAAGCAAGAAATCAAGCGTAGCAATAGAATCACATCTCTGAGAAACCTCACGCACACAGCAAATTAGAACTTTCTTTAAGGGATGCCTTCCAGCCACCAGACACGTGGATTTGTAATGCAAGTGTGAGGTTTTGGTGCGACTAACAGGCGTTTCAGGGCCAAGCTGTTTGGATGTGTTGTAGTGTTGATGTATTGCATGTATCAGAAATTGCATTGTATATGAAAAGACAAAAGGCCTCGGAAATTTCAGTGGGATTTAGATCAGGTTTTCTATGTTTAAGTGGTTTGTGTTGTGTTCTGCTATGATAAGGAAAAAAAGGGGTGTGATCTGGTGCCGGGAGCCATGACTGTTGTGTGTCTCATAGTTCTTAATTTAAAGCCATTTGCAGAGGTTAATTTCCAGTTGCCCGTGATTCTGTACACCTTAAGCTCAGTCCAAATGTCATCTGTCGTGCTTAGAGCAGGTTACTGTGTTATTTCAGGTTTGCGATGCTGGAACCTCCACTGGGAAGCACAGAGAAAACCCCTGATAGAGGAGGCCAGTGAAGAGATACTGGCAGAGATGAGATGTGTGTGTGCATGAGTAACGTGAGTCTGTCTTCAGTTTCAGATGCCTCTGGATGTTCAATGATAGCACTCCTCCATACTGGAGCAGCAAAGTTTCCCCAAAACTTACTTCCAAGGGCAAGACAAGCTGTGTGCTCCCTCCTCCTGGCTGGTGTTCTCAAAGGGTACGGCTCCATCGTAAGCAGGAAACTGGCGTCCCACGGCTTTGGAGCTTCCATGGCAGCAATGTCATCCTTCCCTCCACAGAGATATCACTACTTCTTAGTGCTGGATTTTGAGGCTACGTGTGATAAACCACAGATTCATCCTCAGGTAAATAGTCAATCCTGTTAATTATCCCCTTGGAAGCTGCTGCTGCTGTTCTGAGAGGTGGAAGGAAAAAGCGGAGTGTTGACTCGCTTGTTTTCTCTGGTTTGTCCCACCTCCTTTCTGTTGCTGGTCCTCCAGGGCTCTTGCCAGTCACCTGCTCTCACAGGAGCAATGCCAGTACTGTTCAGTGGGAATGAAATGAAGGAGCCTGATTTCCATCAAGGAGGTGACAATTCATGTGTTATCAAAAACATCTTTAATTCATGTATGCTTGTCATCTGCCTGAACTGGGGAGGGTCTGAAAATTTTTGACTCGGAACCTGCATTAGTAGAGTGCTCATGGCAGCTGCCTTTGATTCTGGAAGGAAAAAGGTTGGTACCCAACACCTTTAGGAAAATAATAGTTTGAATTATATGAATATGTGCAACATAGTGGTGGGTCTAAGTAGAAAAGAACAATAGTTTGGAGCTCTCTGATCTTGCCTCTTGTTAACTGATCAGTCTGGGGCAGGTTAGAAGTGAGTGTAACTAACTTCTACTTGGCTGTAATGCATTTATTAATGACAGTAATGACTGATCTTGCCTGGGTGTTAACTCTGGAGTGTAATGAGACAGGAAGAGTTCAGCTTCAGAGAGAACTGAACTCAGTGCCCTGTCACTTGAGACATACAAAGATCCAGGCGAAGTACAGAGGTTTTTCTGCAGACAGTTCTTCCATAGTAATGTAGAGCATATTAGTAAACATATTTTCAGTTGTCAGCAGGATGGGCCGAGGTTTTCCATTTAAATTAGAAAACCGTGCTAAAAAGAAAAAAACAAGCCTAATATTGGGTTGGTAACAAACAAACAGAACTTACGAGTCTCTGAATTGAACTTATGAGTCTCTGAATTGAACTTATCACCCTCCTCTGCTGAGCAACTGGCCTCTTATAGATATTGCCATTATATGCATTGGGTCAGAATAACTCCCGTTTGCTTTGTTTTGCATATACTAGAGGCTCAGCAGTTTTCGGTGTGGTATCGCATTACTGAAGTGACTCAATACTGTGTGTTTCTCGCGGCACAGCTGTGGTTTCCTTTGGGCTTGTTGTTTCAAAGGGATGCTGCAAGTTGGGATCAAACTTGACTCCTGCCTTCCCCAGTAGTGCCTTGATGAGTGCCGCCTGACCCTCGTCTTTCTTAAAAAATGGACAGCAAATTCGCTGCTCTTTTGCTGGGTCTTTGGGAGGCTGTTGTGGCTCTGGATCCAGTTTTTCTTGCAGGGTCTTAACTGCTCTCCAAGTGAGATGTCAGGCTATTTCCTGCATGCTCTGCCTCGGGTGCACAGACCTGTCAAAGCTGTAAATTGGACCTACCTTGTCCCTTTGGATATGGGTTTGGTCTGTGCACATTTTGATGCAAAACCATGATGCATGTGGAGCTAGTTTACAGCTGGCAGTAAAAAGGAGCATGAGTGGAATATGATTACTACTGTTTTAAGGAGCTTTGTCCCCAAGTCCTTGCCAGGGAAAGTAATGGTCTGGGCCAATGCAGATCTGCTATATATTTTGTTGGTGAGATAGCACCTTTAAGGTGGAGATGTTCTTCAGTGTTGTTTTTCCAGTCTGCTGTGTTCGGTGCCTGTCTGCATTATACTGTGTGTGGAAAGGGCTGTCGGTCCCTCACATCCTCACCAACAAATTAGTTTGACAAATAAGGAAATAGCTTTTGCTATATAGAAATCAGTGGAGCTGGAAAGGCTGAAGGTGCCTGCCAGAATTGGGCAACTTTATTAAATGAGAGTTTAGTTGATGCCCCTACCTATCTTACCTTTTTGCTGGCCAGCATGGCTTTTGTCCTCTTAACTGCTTGGCTGTATGTCATAGTGAGCAAACTGTGCTGTGTATTTTTGTAATGTTTTGTGCAAGGTTTTAGGGGAAGGATCTTTCACTGGAACAGTGGAGGTTTGGTCTGAGGACAGACCTGCCATCTAGGAATGGTCAGGTGCTGATCTCCACTGTGATCCTGATCCTTTTTCTGCTTTTATTTTAATATCTGAAAAATAGAAGTCTAGATACAATGAAATGCAAATGCACTGGGATTTCACGAGGGGGCTGTATATACAGAGCTAAGCTGTGATCCAGGTTACTTTAAGTGGGTAGGCATAGCTGTGAATTTAACCAGCTCAGCCTAGAAGTCTGGCAGAGTACACTTTGCCACCATGCAACACACTTCACATTTCTTACTAGCTGCTCTTCAAAATATTCTGGCATCTTACTAGAAACTACTGAAAGAGCTATCTTTTTGTCCAGACTGAGGTGTGTGACTGCCATTTGTGCTCCCCCTCCCACTGTATTTACTTGTGCTCTTCTGCAACTGGCAGCCTCACTGGCTTTATCACTGGGGAAGTCCTTCGTGCTTATTCAGGAGCCCTGAAGACTCCTTCATTTCCATTCCCTTTCATGCTGCCTGATCTCTCTCTGAGGTCTTGTGGTATGGCCTCCGTAATGGGGATCAAGGAGGGTCAAGGACAGTGGTATTCCCCTGGGAAGCTGTCTGCATCATGGCTTCAGTAGTTGGGACTGCTGGCTGAGTGCCTTGTGGCCTCTGCCCTTTGCTTTACCACTTCTGGGTCAGGCATGGAGGGTCCTTCATGTTCCCTACCCTGTACCCGCAGAGGAGTGGTAGCATCCTTGCAGTCCTGACATCTGATGGCTTTCAGCAGATATGCCCCTAAATCAAAGTGCATGTTTATATGCACAAAGCAGCAGCTTAGCTTTATGGGATTTTTTTGATATATTTATGGATAATGAGACCATCCCAGAGAGGAAAGAAGGTGGGGGGTTTAACTGCATTGCCCTAGATGGATAGATGGGAAAGCCTAAAAGAACAGAGGCACAGTCTATGTCGTGTGGTGTTTTAGCCAGCCGAAGGTCAGCAGGGGTTGGCAGTAAGGATGTTTATGGCTGGCCCCTTGCATCTCTTTAAAGCTTACCTTGTGCATTTGGAATTTGATACAAAGCCCAGTGGGGTCAGGTGGGAGCTGTCGTTCTGCGGAGGTTGGTGAGGTTGGTGGACCTCAGACCATGGTGGTGGTAGTGTACTTAATTTTTCAGCTCTAGTTCTGACTTTTTTTTCCTTTGCTGTCTGCTAAGAGTCTATAAGCACTTGCTGCTTTTGTACACTCTCAGCCTGTTGAGCCAGGTACATATGGAGCTTTATCTACACAAGAGAAGATGCATTAATAAGTGTGAGTCTCGCTCTTTTGTCCCTTTGTCCTTGTATACACCAGTGTTTATGGTGGTCAGTGCTTTCAGTGACTGTTAAGGAGCTCCCCAGGCTCAAATCCGCAGCTGCCTGTAGCCTTATTTTATTAATGCAGTGAGTGGGTGTGCCTCTTACGGTCAGCAAGCCAAGTATCTTGCCTTCAACTTCATCAGAGTGGATGAAAAGCAATGATTTTTTAAGAAATGTAAGAAGTCTGAAGGTAGAAATCAGATCTGTTCAAAGCTGAACTTGAAATTACGCTTCTATATAGGATGTTAATCTCTACTGTAATCTATTAAAGCCACTTAAATTAAAGCCAAATAAAATTCAAGCTTTGTATGTCTGCTGCCTGAAAGTACAAAAGAGTATCAAACCCCTGACCTGGCAGAAGGAGCTGGACCAAGGAGTTGCTAAGCTGCTAAATGAGCTTTTGGTGGTGATGAAGTTGCCTTTTTTCATGTCAGGTTTTTCAGGTACTTGAGTTCAGTATTTGATTCACTCAAATTTGATAATCATTTGAGAACTAGAAATTCACCTCTTGCAAATTCTCTGTAAGAGGAAGATATGGAAAGGTCAGATCTTCTAATTGCTGAAGGAAGTGTCGTGGTTTAACCCCAGCCAGCACCTGCACCCCACACAGCTGCTCGCTCACTCCTCCCTGGTGGGATGGGGGAGACAGTCGAAAGAGTAGAAGTAAGAGAACTCGTGGGTTGAGATAAAAATGGTTTAATAAGGAAAGCAAAAGCTGTGCATGCAAGCAAAGCAAAGCAAGGAATTCATTCACTGCTTCCCACGGGCAGGCAGGAGTTCAGCCATCCCCAGGAAAGCCGGGCTCCATCACACGTGACGGTTACTTGGGAAGACAAACGCCATCACTCCAAGTGTCCCCCCTTCCTTCTTCCCCCAGCTTTACATGCTGAGCATGGTGTCATGTGGTATGGAGTATCCCTTTAGTTGGTTGGGGTCAGCTGTCCCAGCTCTGTCCCCTCCCAACTCCTTGTGCCCCCCCAGCCTGCTCACTGGTGGGGGGAGAAGCAGAAAAGGCCTCGACTGTGTGTGAGCACTGCTCAGCAGTGACTGAAACATCCCTGTGTCGTCAGCCCTGTTTCCAGCACAAATCCAAAACAGCCCCATAGTGGCGACTGTGAAGAAAATTAACTCTATCCCAGACAAAACCAGAACAAGAGGTTGTGACCAGAGGCAGAATAAATTGTTTACAGATAGTAGTTTCCTTGTTCTCTTAAACAGCACATTTTAAATACAAAAATGTCTTGGTATTTTTCTTTAGCAAACCCTACATATTTCAAGTTTGTTTAGCATGCATTTTGAGTGTTATTTTGGGGGGATCTTTAATTATAATTGCTGTTAGATAAAACTGGACATACTAATACATATAGAACATCACTTACCATTTCAACATGGAACCATAAATACTGAGACTATGAGTAAGTATATGTTCAGCTAGTGATTTTGAAGTGTACAAACAAATCTGGATGGTCATTGCATTTCCTGATAGGCAAAAGCATACTAACAAACAGGAGCCAGTCCTTTGTAAGGTATCATTAAGCAGAAATTCACGACAAGGTTAAAGTGGGTGCAGGCTATGTTTCCTTGAGTGCTGGTCTAAAAGATCATTAAAGGCATTTTCCCCTGCACATCCGTCTTAGGGTTCTGGCTAGCAGTTGTGGGCAGGTGCAGCTGGAGTGGCTGCAATGATTGCTGCCTCTCCGCCGCTTGTGCTGCTCTACCTGTGGTGT